AAGATATAAAGTACACCACGGAATGTTTTTATTTACTAAATATCCTTTTGCTAAGATATTTACAATAGTATATAATTTATGTATGGGTTAAGAAAGACAAAAGGAAAATGATGTTTATTATAATCTTGGGTTACAGACAGTGAATGTTCCTACCCAGCAGAGAACTAGAGATGGCCAAGTATACATTGAATACCTAGCAGATGATGTTCAAGATCATGTGTACAAGTCTATACTTAAAACTTCATATTTAATGTTCAGGGTAGGAAAACTTTTTAATCTCCAGTATTTTATATTATTAGTTTTTTTATTAACAACATTCATTCGATTTAAAAGCTTATAAATATTAAATACTGAAAAGATGTACATAAAATTGTATGTAACTAATTTTGTTGTTCCAGCATTCAGAGAGAAATAAGCTTTAATATTACCAGCAGCTTCTCAAGAATTAGAGAATTGTTTGAGAAGTGCAGGACATCCCAACATAGCTAGTTGGGTAATAAATAATTATAAATATGAAAAAGGACATATATATATAAATATAGTGATAAAAAACTTGAGCTACTTCTATGGTATGGTATAATAAACATTTAAAGGTAATGAGGAAGTGGCAGTTAAATAAACAGAAATAAAACTGGCAGTACTAGTCTTTTTGCTTAAGAATCATTTTTAAAATTATGAAGTAAGAGTTTCTTGTGAAGGGCATCAATCAGTATTTCAAACTCAAGAGTATAGTTAGTTTTCTCTATAGTGAAATGAAGTATGAAAAAAGTTTATAAAAGAAATTAGAAATATACTTTGAAACTGCCACGTGAAAAGTTAAAAGTTTGTGTAAATTTTTTGAGTTTATCAATTGTAAATATTTCATTAGAAACAAAACAGACAAAATAAAGGATAAAGAATATTCATTTGGGTAAACTAGATGTTAAATTATCAATTTGTTTTGACAAACTCGGAAATGTAACTGCAGTTTTACTGATAACCAGTTTGTGGGTATGTCTGAAATATTTAGTAACTTGTAAGTAATTAAATTCTGCTATTTTGTTTTGAGCTTTTATTGTTACAACCGTTGGAGTTATTTTTTCATTTATCTGAGCTTTAATTGATAAAGCTGTTGGAGTCGCAACTTATTTTTCAATTTATTTCAACTTAAGAGTTTTAGGAATGCTAAAATTGAAATATAATGTAGCCCACTTTATTTTTCATCCTTATATATTTGCATCCTACCTGATTAATATTTATAAAGAGTAATAAGAAAACACTAAAGCAATTGAATTATCTTGGATTATATTTTAAATTTATTAACTCTTTCAGAATGGGCTCAGTCCCTGGGACCAACCTCATAACCATTTTGTGCTTTTTATGGTTTTCATGCTATAACTTTTAAATTAGAAAGCATATGTTAATGAAATGTGGCAGATTATCATTAAACATTACAATGCTTTCATATGTAAAATATCAAATTTTTGTATTAAGTCCTTAGGTTTGTAAAGCAATGTTTTTCTCATGACTTTTTTTTCTTTTTAGATGTTGTATATCCAACATGCAAAGTAATTTGGTTTTAACATTAAATATACTTTTATGCATCAGAAAATTTTGAAATTTCACAAGTGAAATTTTATAATGTTTAGATAGTTAATAAACATTTCTT